CCTGTTTGTGATGATAAAGGTCAGGTTTGCCGATTTACATACTCTTCAGCCAGAAGTGAGGCTGGCGCTAATATTATGGCTGGCAGTTGCGCTCATCTCGGGGGTTAAGAACCGCCATTATTCGTAAAAGTCAATTTAACAGTGGCTCGTCTTGCTCTTTATGCATTTCCCCCCTCCCCGTGTCGTTCTATAAAATATCAAAGGCTACACAAATAGCATTTAGAAATGGGTCAACAGTGACGCGTCTCCCCCCCCCTCGCTTTCCGAGTGTCCGATTGGATCTTGATGGATGGCAATCGTTTGTCTCTGTCGGGAAAGGGACACTGGAAATAGTGTGCTATCAAACTTTTTTTCCTGCCAGAAGTGGGGATCTATTAGTGTCCCGTGATTGTGTGGGGCTTTCCGAGGAAGATAAAGAATATTACTGTTGTCACATCAGCCCTCTGTGTCTTCATTTGCATCCCGTTATGCAGTGGTACCTGTTCTGAGCACCTTCCTTTATATAGCCACGACTGTATTCTTACTCAAATATCCATCAGTAGGACCACTATGTAAAATACCAAATGCTTACGGTTTAATATATTCACCAATAGTATTTTTTTTTTCCTCTCCATTCCAATTGTGGGAAATGTTCATTAGAAGTTTTTCAAAAGGAATGTATGCAAAAGAAAATGCAAAAAATATTGACGGTTCATAGCTGAGTTTCAGGGTTATTTTAGTCTCTCTTTTTAAAAAAAAAAAAAAAAAAATTTGCTGACTTTTATATATAATGGAAGGCTATTTTGGTATGTTTATGATGCGGTGTAATGCTAGAAGATTGTTCCAGTAATATTGCATCCAGAAAGAATTTACGGTTTAGGGAAATAAAGCTACAGTTTCAGGTTGGATACTTTGTTAGTCATTTAAGTGTAATGTAATCTGTGTGTCTTCACCATTAAACGGCTGCATGCGAGGGTCTGCACTGTTTGCCTGCATGCTGGGGTCTGCATTGTCTGTCTGCATGCTGGGGTCTGCATTGTCTGTCTGCATGCGGGGGTTTGCATTTTCTTTCTGCATGTGGGGGTCTGCATTGTTTGTCTGCATGCGGGGGTCTGCATTGTCTGTCTGCATGCCGCCATAACAGCCAACTTTTGTTTTTGTAGGTGCAGTGTAACGCTGTAAACGATCGTTATAAATATTTGGATTATAATATAAAGCACCCCACCAGCCCACGACCCCCCTCCGGCTCAGCAGGTTTTGTTGTCCCTCATCTCTGTTTATGTGGAGCTCCCCCCCCCCCCCATCTGTTTGCACGTCTCCTCCTACGCTCTGAGGACACACTGTGCAGACGAGCCACCCGAATACTGTGCCCTAAACGTGCGGCTGTCTGGCTGTGCATCCTGTGCACGCTGCACTGCGTCCTGTGCACGCTGCACTGCGTCCTGCCTGCTTGTGAATCACCACGGCATTTGGGTTTCTCCAACTTTGGGTGGATGTGAATTTATAATTGAGTGTCATGGATGCGTTTTGCTGAAAATACAGGAAGATTATGTGAGACATTAATCTTATGTTGAATTGTAGTTAGTAGCAAGCATTTTACTGTAATAACAATGATTTAGTCAAGCAAAGCTTTGTCATCTCAGTCAGATGCATTACACAATGAAATGAAATTATGTTTCCACTGAACCCAAGGTGCAGCATTCACGACAGGACAGACATTACAGTGCTAAAGACAGAGTTATGGAATTATTTATGTAGTGTAAAATATTTCCTGTGCTGTTATCAGTAATTTAAGGGGAGGGGAGACAGAGGGGTGACTACTACCTATTTAAAGATGGCTGACTGTGTATATGCACCTCCCTGAGGTCGAATGCAGATATTCCAGCTGTTTCAGATCTCATCTAAGATGGTCTTGAGCTGGGACGTTTGCTGGTGTAGCGGTTCCTCATCCTGGTGCCCGAGATGTAGCCCCGCTGAGCCGCGCCAAAGTTCTCCTGCCCATGAAGGGCTGCCCTGTACCGCCCGTTGCCGTTTTCCGGCCTTCTTGATTTGTGTATCACGGGAGGGTGTCGGACCGGCGGCCTGGGAAGGAGCGAGCGGTCAGTGAAGGGGGCTTGCTGTTCCACCGTGCCGCACATTCCGAGGGCGTGTGCCGTAACTAACGTTTTGGCTGCAGAGAGGACATCCTGTGATGCACAGAGGCCGTTTTGCGGGACGGCTGGAGTTTTAGGTGGGGCCCGATTAGTGAACCTTTTTTCCTGGATGAATGTAGCGATTAGTGGCGTTAGGTGTAGCTGTTAGCCTGTAAAACTGGGATGTGCTTACAAACTCCGACGTGAATCTTTCTGTGGTCTGTGAACTCGTGCAGGTTCATGAGGATCCCCGCCAAAGTTTATTAGTCAGTCTAGAAAGTGGCTGATTATTTGCTAGCTAGAAATGTCTTTCCGTAAACAGGCTTGCGGAAATCCCTCCCCCCAACCCCCCCCCACCAACGCTCGGGAATGCCTGTGCGAAAATGACTGCCAATTCCCGGCCAAATTAGTCCCTTCCACTGACGTTTTTTATGAGTAAACTAATTACTAATTACGCGAGTGGTTTGCGAGCCCGTGCCCGCTCGCTGGCCTTTGTGATTTTAATTGTTGTTATCTTGAAGGATGGTGCTGCGTAATTCCGCCAAGATGCTCAAGGATGGATGGGAGATGAATAATTTATCATCTTTATAAAAATGCTCTCAGCGTGCGCGGGTGCAGAGGGATTGATGGTGGAGCCACTTTCCCAGGCTTTCATTAGGGCCCCGTTGTCACGTGCCACCAAGAGCGCTCACGACCCAGCAACTAATTACTCAGCGCGACGGGGCCGGTGCTGATGCATCCCATCCTTTTCGTGCGGCTCCCCGAAGATGAGCGAGTGTCGGAGGCTGCGCCCCTGCGTTTCTCGGGCACCTCTGTGGGCACCCGGTGATGATTTTTGTAGATGAATGTAGGGAGCCGGCATGATGAAACGTAGGCTTGCGTTTGGGGGCCTATCGCACGCGAACATATCTCTGCCATCCTGGCTTAGCAGGATCCTCCCCCCCCCTTCTCCCTCCTCCTCCTCCTCCTCCTCCTCCTCTTTCCCTTCCCGAACACCCGACTGCAGCAAGGAGAGAAGTTCAAAGGGCCTGGCACTGATAAATAAAGAATGACTCGCAACAAAGGCAGCGATGGTGGTGTGTTGTGCCGAGAGCTCGGCGTTTGATGTTTTCATGCGTGCTGCTCTCTGGGCTGCCCAGAAGACTCCTTCCCCTTGTAGGTCACGCGGAACCCGCTCGCTCCTTATTTATTAAAGCGCCACAGTTGTTTTCATTCAGCGGATTTGTTTGCGTGTGCTTATAGTTTTCACTCCTGCAGAAGATGCATCACTGAAGGTCACCAAGGAAATGCACGCCCCCGATCTTGATGGGGATGCGTGGTAGAACCGTCCTCCGCAGTGGCCTCGTGAGATGTTGAGGTTCCAGAATTTCTGTTTGGCTTTAAGAAGAAATGTTCATTCTTTAGCTGATTCATGCTGATTTTCTGCAAGGGCTTCGTTGGCTAACTGTTTGTTTGTGGCCCTATCGCCTAAAGGACTGTGTTCTAGCCCTAGCTGGGGTGGTCGATACGCGTGTGCAGGCAATCTGCGTACCTCTTCCTACCCAGGACAGTGCAAGAATGATTTAATAAGTAATTAAAGAAAAATAGTACTTAACCCAGCAGCCAGTAAATCCTGAGAGCTCAGCCACTCTTTTACTGCAGCATAATTAACATTTTTTGGCCTTGCGATGAAGTATGCAGACGTAAAGATGTGCCCATCAACGGAAATCTCCGGCAGCCGTTAAACTGATTTGTGCAGCCACGGGCGCCTGGGCCCTGTTGCGCATTAAAAAGTTACTTGCAGTTCAGCGGGGTGAGACGCGCACGCTGGAGGACGCGGCTGCGGCGAACGTCACAGTAAATCAGCACCTGCGGTGAAGTGGACCCCTTGCGTGTAGCATGCAATGCACACCACTGTGTAGCGGGGGCAAGTCCAGACGTCCATTGGGGGGGGGGGGCGTTCTTGCTGTGGTCTGAAAACATGAGGCTCGCCAGTCAGTGGGGTTGGTGAGTCAAGGTAACCCCCATCCCCCCCCCCGTGAACACCGTGAATACAGATTCGCCTTGTTTTCTTTGGGCTTTCTCATAAATGTTGGAACGGTTCTGTTTAATATGTGGGAGAAACCATTCACTGTAATTTACTTTGACAAATGAACCCCCCCCCCCACCCCTGCCCCACCCCGCAAGATGAAATGAGTTCTTTAAAAATAAGCAAGCTAAGAAAGTGGGGGGGGGGGGGCAGTGAAATCGTAATGGCAAAAAATGTGTTTCGCTATGTTGTGTTATGCCTTAGGGGCAAAATGTAATGAATATTTTAAGAGATTATTTTGATTAAATTTCTCCGTCTAAATAGGGTAATATTTTACGGCAGCAGCCGTTAGCCGTGATTCCGTGCTGCCGTCATTAAAAGTTAACACTTTCCGGGTCGCGGAGCCGGCCCGCATCATTTACCAGCCCCGTGTGATGAAAGGTGTAGAGCGGCAAGAAAAATGACGGGGGCCCCAGACATTGATGAATATTGGTAATGCTATCCGGTATTTGTAATGCCCCCCTCCCCCCCAACTCTGCCGGTGATGGAGGTGCCCTGCTGGGGGCCGAAATGAAGCTCGAGCCATCGCACGTGCCGCTGGGGAGGGGGGGGGGGGGGGGGGCTGATCACTCTGTCAGCGGTTCATTCCGCCGTGATCTATTTAGGGTCCGTTTCACCTTCGAGTTGAGGAGCGAGACCTGGGGGGAGGGTTGGGCGGCTGGACGGGGTCTCCTCGTCCAGAAGGTGACATTGTTATTTTGAAGGACGTCCCAGAGTCCATGGCAGCACACGAGGCCCTCGTCCCTCCCTGGCTTCCTCCCGCCTGCCACACGGCTAATCGCTAACACATTGCTCTCTCTGTACCCCCCCCCCCACCACAGTCGTCCCCGTGACTTCTGGCGCCTGGACTACTGGGAAGACGACCTTCGGCGACGGCGGCGTCTCGTCAGGAACCCGTTCGGGTCGTCGCACTCGGAGGCAGCGCTCCGGGATGCCGAGGAACACGGTCAGTCCCCATGGAGACGGCGGCGTGTAGCCGGCCATAAAAATTAGACCTACAGTTGCCATAAACTTTTTACTGCACCCTGAGACACATTTTTTTTAAAAAAAAAAAAGAAAGAAAAAAAACATTACTACTTATCGGTTTGATTAGTTCACAAGACAAATTTTCAGCTAGGACAATAGGGTTGTTGCCATGGCACTCATTGCCTTCACTAATCGAATTTAAGCCCCCCCGCATGTCTTTCTGAGAAATGTTGGTAAAAATGAAACTGCAAACATCTCCAAACTGTCGTATTGGCGTGCTCCCTGCATCCTGCGCAGAAAGGTTAATAGGTGTTTTTAATGAGTTTAAAGTTCACCTTTAAAAGCAGCGCCCACTGCTGTTGGAGTCAGAGCTACACTTCATTTTCGCGTTTTCTGCCGAGCGCCGCTTTGATGTCGAGCGGCTCTCCGTCGTAAAGAGCGCCCCACCGTAGCTCTGACACCTTTAAATGGAAGAATGTTGGTTCAGACTCACAGGTAGGTATTTTGCTGTAAAATACCGTGACACACCGCAACCCCCTCCAGGAACAGGGGGCACGCGATGGATGGCTGTAACTCCTTGTGACAGACCTCATCAATTTCCAAACGTCTAATAAAACGATTTTCTCTTGTTCATCTCGTGGTAACTACAAAGAGAAATGTATAGCAACACACAGATTTTTTCCCCCTATAACCATGCATAGAGCGTAGCCTTGTCCTTACTGCAATCATGAGGGCATAGATGTCTGAGAAGTTATAGAACAGGTGCCATTGAGCGAAAACTTCATGTTTATGCTAAGGGAAAGCGACCAGCACCCATGGATATAGAGTTGCATGTTTAATTCATGGTTACTGTGCATGAATTATACCACTGTTACAAACTCCATTTCGACAGACATTTAGCAGATCAGAGCCTGCGACTGGCGGGTTTCGTTTCGGCTAGTTGTCAATGCGGTAACATTATCATACGATAATACGATAGACGAAGGCTTTCCATGCTGGTCAGTAACCCCTAAACACTAATAATACCATACGATCGCAGAGAAACGCTAACAGATCAGTGCCGGGCAGCTGCTCTGGACCGTGAAGCTGAGGTTGACCTCAGCGATGATGTCGCAGTCCCAAGACGACCCTACAGCAGGACAGTCTCCTCAGCCATCTCCTGGCCTCCTGTTTTGGTTTGGCAGCCAAGGGCAGGACTCTATGCAACAGATGGACAGATAGTTAGCAAATGTGTCCACTGTTATGTCATAAAGGGCAATTGTTCCTTTACCTGCAGAAATAAAATGGTTTTCTTTGTTTGGCTTCATTCAGTGTTTATTTTTAATTTATTTTTGAGTAAATGCACAATGGCCCTCCACACACACACACACACACATACACACACACACGACTGGTGGTTTCCAAATTTAGTTAGAGTAACAACACCGTCTTGCCCAGTTTCTGCTTTAATTGCGTTTGTGCTGCTGCCCTTCCAAGATGTGGGGCTTCGTGCCAGCTTAACCTATTGCACTCCCCAATAAAGAGCCATTTCTGGGGGAAAGTGTCCGTGATATGTCACGAGNCCCCCCCCCATTCGTGTGACACCGTCTCCCCGAGATGAACGACCGGCCTGACAGAAGTCAATAAGAATGTGATCTAAAAGCAATAAGCGCTCCAGAAAGCAGCATCCTTTGAGACCTGCCGGGGTCCTAATGGTGGTAATGTACAGCTGTAGGGGGTCCTGCAGTCTTGCATTGGCCCCTTTGCACTTGGCTGTCCGAGAAAGTGCCCGTTTGTTTCATCCCGGGTAGCAGACTTGGCTTATTTAGCTCTGTTAGTCTCCCATGCTACCATGTCAGTTTTTTGCCCCCCTTCCCATGGGCTGATGTTATGTGATTTTATAATCGGTCTGTCAAATCAGTCTCAGGAATTAACTGGGTGCCGGATTTTTATAAATTCTGTCTAAAAATGCTCACGGATTTGAAACGATTACAAAATGAGGAGAACATAAGCGGTGTTGCCTGTAAACGCTTCGGGCGCGGTAAATAAGCGGTAGTCTCAGAATTAAGCGGGAAATTATTTCTCGTCTGGCAAATTAGAGAGAATTAGGTAGGACGGTTCTGTGTTTGACATAATGCAAACATAGAGGTTTCTCAAATCGCAATATGATGTTTGTCTTTCAGTTCGCCGTTTTTAAACGTTTCCATCTTCTGTTGTGTTGCGTCTTTTGTTGCGAGTCCGCCTACATCGGGAAGCAGAAAACAAAGGAGGGAGGATGTTTTCAATATAGGTCGCGTATGGCTCAGCTGGACCTAAGAAGTGGAAAGTTTGCCTTAAAAATACCGAGGAGCAAACGTTAATGAATGTAGTCGGTATTTAACGTGACTTAGGGCTACTGGTGAAAGCGCTTCTCAGCCCGAATTCATTCGCTTTGTATTCTAAATAGAAAATAATAAAACACCCCGCATTACAAATGTATCTGAACGTCGCCCTGCCTTTGTTCTTCCCGTAAAAAGACGGCAGTCTATTATTACTGGTTTATTACGGCGTGACCCCGCCCCTTTCAGAATGGTCCGCGCTTGGAGTATGCACTCAGGTACAATCGTGTTCACTCATGGCTGGCCAGCAACTTCACAACAATTTACATTATAAAGCCCCGAGCGAGGCGCTTGTGTGGGGGCTAGGAATATATTTATGGCTGAAAAGAGCCATCTTTTCTGGGGATTGATTCGGCCGGGATGAAAGGCTGTAGAGCAGACGTGGCAGAGTAAATACCTGAAGACTAATGTCTCTGTTGTGACAATCGATACCTGCCCCGTGACTACGCTTCTGGCCGCGCGCTTGTTAAAAACAAATTTGTTAATTCTGACAATTTAATTGCCCCGCCTCACTCTGGCTTTAGTAGCATATAAATGAGTATTTGAATCACTCGGTCGGAAGGGGGGGGGGCATATAATAGGGTAATGTAACAGGTTTTCTTTACATTTGTGCCAAGCCGTGGAGGAATGGCATGGTTTCAGGTGTGCTGCCGTGTATATTTTGTGTTTCCTTAACCATAATCGATCACTTCGAATTTTCCCCAGTTCCAGTTAAGTTTCGGTATTTCAGCACTTTTTGAAGCTGTATAGTAGTGTCCGTGTTATGGAAAAAAAAAAAGGTGCACACTCGCTTGTGTTTGGATTTGAGCAATGAACTAAACTTAAAAACTGTAGGCCTATTTATTATCGGCTGGTAAGATAAATATCCATCTCTCTTCAGAGAACTCTAATTAGTTTGCTTAATACAAGCTACTGTACCGCTAACATGAAAATCTGGGTTACTTTTCATCAGGTCTGCCCTGTGGCCTTATTGTCAGTGTAACAGCTGTGTATAGTAGTCTAAGGGTCATAAGTTTCGCCGAAATACTTTAAAAAGCAACCCCGTCAGTTTTCAAAAACAGCTGACTCAGGCTACAGTGTTGCGTTTGGAGAATGTGGTTTTATCTAAATGTTTTTCTTGCACTAAATAATTGGCAGTATATACAGTGAAAGTAATTATGCTTAAAATCAGCATTCGTAAGACCCCTCAACGTGGTTGCTGTTTATCCTTAGACAGATGGACTTGTTTCCATCTGTCACTTAATTGCGGTTTTTCTTGATTAAACTCACAGGTGAAAGTTAAACCGGAGGAACACTCAATATTCTCTTACTGAATGTACAGCTTCATGCTATCGGATTTGCTATGGTTCTCTCAGGAATAACCACATAAATATACAAAGAAGCTATTTACGGGCATTGAAATGAAATATTAACTTTGCATAGCTTAAATATGGTTGATCTTACTTTTATCGAACTTTAACATTAATAATGTCCAAGGCAACGCCCCCACGTGACGCTTTGAATAGTAATACGTTTTTTTTAGTGGCTGGTCGAAATAAAATGTGAAATAAATGTGATTTAAAAGAACGCCAAAATAGTTGTGCACTCCCACTGCCCCGAAAAATACGGCTGAAAGAGAAATGTAGAATATGTGGCAGGTGTCTATCGATATTTAGCGCCCACACAAATAACGTGTATGTGACTGACGTCTGAGTCCTTTACGGAAATCACAGACTTACATAATACATATTAAAATTTCGGAAAGCTTATTTTAATTACTTACGATAAATTATCATTTGAAAAACAAAAAATTATCAACTTGTGTAATTTATTTTATGCCCAATCTGGATAGCAATGTAGGCCTAGATTTTCTTTTCTTTTTCGGGGCGTGTTTGGCCGCTTAGACAGTTTTTCCTTTTCTTTATTTATTTATTTATGAACTTATTTGCCACTAGATTGTGGCGATGCTTTAGCCTGCCCGCCTATGAGAACGCCGAAGCATGTGGTATGTATTAGGAAGCTGGTAGTAATTTCACTGCTGCTAACTAAAAATTCTCAGGGGGGGCTTAATTACAGGAAGGCCATTCTAAATATCAGTGAGCCGCATATTTTCCAAGACAAGACATCTTTTCAGCTTGGTTTTTAACAGTTTTTAGTCTCCACTTATGAAGTGCATTTTTTTTTTATGAAAATAAATACTGCTCAACAGAAGTGAAGTCGTTCACGAGCCCAGCTGGACGGGTGATTGGGCTCGTGTTTCCCTGCGGTGTGTCCCTACCTGTGCGCTCTTATCAGGAAGCCGCGAGGTTGTTTATACAAGAGAAGCGTTACGTCGGACGCGAACAGTGGACTGTTTCAGGTGGTCACACTGTACCCCGCCCGGGAACCAAGTCTTCTGTAAATGTTTGCGGATTACCGTTTTCCTTAAATAATCCATTCGGAACCTCAAGTCATGTACGGTTGAAATCAAAAAAGTAATGAGCAAAGAACTTCCCGGGCTGTGTTGGTATATGCTTGGCACGTGACACTGGGTATAGGTTAGCTAGAAATGCAGTATTTTCCTTTAATTAGCCTTGATGTCCTAAATATGTACACACACATGTTTTTAAACGTGAATTCTTCCTAATCATTTTAAATGCGAGTACTTTGAAAGCGACTGAAATTAGATATAATAAATGTATTAATAAAATGTTTCTTCATATGAATGACCGCCTGTATACTGTCATAGCTTTAATTCAAGCGTTAAGCTTTCTTAATAGAAATTTATTAGGATTTTTGAACTTTGGAGAAGAATTGAAGAAAGCAGTCTTTGTATTTCGGCACGGCAAGTAAGCTCCTGCTGTGAAGGTTAGTTTTAGAATTTAAGCAGATTTCAGTGTTATTAATAGGGACGCTTTATAGTCAAGGCGGTAATTCGATTTGTAAACCGAGAGGTTCATGTGACACCGTTTTTCTCTTTTGTCTTGTAAGTGCTAAAATCGGAAATTTCACTAAAGAAATTGTGCAGACCAGTTATAGATTGGTATCAACGAGAGAACCTGTAGCGCCTCATTTTGACGTTGTATGTATCGTATGTGGTTATTAACGTTTAATACTGATGACTGCAGATCGAATTATTAAATACACAATAATCTTCCATTTGTAATATAAATAAACAGTCGACTTTCGAATTAATAGTGAATAAAAATTGTAATATTTGATCGTATTTTTCTATCGGTAATAAAAGCAGAACTAAATATAGCCGTATAACAAAACACAGAATTCTTAAAAATAATACAATATTAATCATTCTTTTACCATCTGAAACACTTTTTTAAAACAGCTCTTCAAATAGGAAATCCTCCATATTTGTTAAACGGTCTCCATTTTTCAAATATAAAATACAGACTGACTTCTATGAAAAGCGGAATGTTCCGTGCTGCGAAAGACATGCCAGTTTATGTAACAGTATTTTTTCTTTATGATTATTGTTGTCCAATAATTCTAATTAACTTGTTTTTGCATACTCACATGTGAATATATTGCTCTCAAATGCTAAAAAGGCAGCGTCGACTCCTGCTGACTCGAATGTTTTTTTTTTTTTCCTTGTTTAAGTTCCCGAGGAAGATGTCCTCAAACCCAAACAGTCCATCAAGAATCATGCTCTGGGAAATCAAAACTCGGAAAGTGAGATATTGTTGGATGGGGACGATGATACCCTCTCGTCCTTGGAGGAGAAGGAACTGGAAGCCGTAACAGGTAAAGCGACTCGTTTATGTCAATAACGCATGCAGAGCGGCGGTCACCACTCGGGCCTGTATCTGAGCCTTCGGGGAATAAAGCGACTCTGAATTGTCGTAGGCCATTAACAAGGATAACTTTGTCTCATTACGATTTTGTGGCCGTTTGAGGTGTTTTAGTGTCCTTTGTGTGGGCTAAAGGCGAGTTCTTTCTACAATTTCTCATTGACAGAAGAAACGCACGTTTTACTGTTAGCCTGATTAAATGAGATTGCATTAATGGAATTCGCGAATACAATAAGTTGAATCGCAGAAAAAAAATCTGCCTTATGAGTTGAACATGAAATGTTTGTAAAAACTTGCACGACATGTTAATGATATTGTTGGTATTAATCTGACTAATCTACTTATTCAGTTTTAGTCTGCGGTATCCGTTTGAACCCGTGATATCTAAAGGCAGCAGTGATAGCGTGCACGTTCTTATGAATCGATGAATAAAGATGCTCCGCAAGAGTAAATGCCTGTTTGAATAGAATTACTTTTTGTGTTGTAGTTTCCCGCCACTGCGACGTTTAATGTATTTGGATTATTATTAACAGCTTGATCACGAAATAAAAATGACTGAAACTGTAACAGTCGAGCACAACACTGACAGCCTTCTGGTTGTCCATCCAGCTACCAGTCTCTGTTAGTGCAGACGTATAAGTTTAAAAAAAGAAAAAAGTAAATTATCTCCACGTATAACTGAACACACTGTGGTTTTGTTTGTGCTCTCTGCTCCCTTTACATTATGCTCGTTTAAAATGATTTATATGTCCTGTTTTGTGTGGGGAAATGCCTTTTGAAGCATGCATTCTGTTTAATCCATAAAACAAGGAGAATCGAATATGATAAACGTCGGTTAGAAATGTGCATTATATTGGATATCTTGTTTGTAGAGGCCAGTTTGACGTTGAGTTGTTACGGTACAATGTTAAAATTCTTTAAGATATGTTATTATACAGCTCAATCGGATCGCAGTCTTTCCCGTTTCGCAGTGCTCGCCGCAAAGTGGAGGTTCTCCACGCGCGCAATTACACGTCGTGTCCAGTGACGATGTTGCTGTACGACGACGGGCCGTAGGACGAAGGGAATCCGGCTGCATTTCTTGTTGTTGCTGAAACTTTAGGTTTCGACTTTTGCGGCTGTCCTTTCCTACAGTTGAAAGAAGGACAGAGAAGGCTTTTTTTTTTTTAAACTGCAGCGCATGCAGAATCTCACATGGCAAGGGATGACTGTAAATAAATATCTGGGGTTCCCTTCTCTCGTGAGAGCGTGCATGGTAAAAATCAGACGGATTGGGTACGCGCGTATAATGCCCAGCTGCAAATACAGTTCATCTGGCTGTTTATGATCCTGGGGAAATCCTACAGCAGACTCCCCTGAGCGACGCGCTCTCATTGTCATACTTGGCATAAATTAAGATTGATGAGAGATTAAACAGACACCATACCTTTACTCTAGAAAATCAATGTGAATTGATTGACAGTTTATTTTATCTGACAGGACCTTCAGGATCTTTCATTACGCGCGCGCAAACATTTCTACTGTTCGAGCGCTGCGTTTTCTGTCTATGTATTTATCGCATTAAAATATTTGAGTTTTCTGCGTTTAAATGTAATGAAACATATTTAAACAATTACATTTTAAAGGGATATTTTTCTGCTTTTAATCAAGATGAAAAATATGTAGGCCTATCGTTACGGCTGATGATGCTAATAATGCTAATAATAATCTTTATTACTAGTGACATGTTTATATTTAGAGATACGTATCTTTAAAACTATTTAGCTCGTAAGGATATTCAATTTGGGTTTATCAGATTTCCATTATCAGATCTTGTCCTGCATTATCGAAGCATGCTTTGACGGTTTGTTGTATTGTTACAGGCTTTGAAAAAGGCACACACAACCATTAGCAGTCCTTGGCGTTGTCTTTGTGTTTTTGTGTAGTCTTCCGGGTTCCGTTGTAGCTTCAAACAATAGCTGTTTTTAAGTGTCTGCGATGTGGTGCAGTAATTTCTTTTTTTTTTTTGACCATCCCGGTTCCTTTTGACCGTTTTTCAGGCCCAGTAAACTTGAGCACCAGTGCGCAGCTGGTTGCCCCTGCCGTGGTGGTGAAAGGGACCTTGTCCATCACAGCATCGGAACTCTACTTCGAGGTGGATGAGGAGGATCCTAGCTTTAAGAAAATCGATCCAAAGGTAAGAGACCGTTTAACTCATCAACACAAAAGCTCAACATAGTGTAAGACGAGTATTTTGGTGTGCATCAACGCATATAAAAAGAAATATTGTGTTAGACCCCCCCCCCCCCAAAGAAAACAACTCGCATTGAAAACATAACTATAATACGCATTATGATATATAACATACTATAATATGTGAAATTTTGGACGCTGTGATATGAGCCATTGCCAGCTACACTTAGGACACTTTTTGTGAATGCTTGCTATTAATGAAAATAATGTAATTTCGCGGCCTTATGCAGAAACATCTTTTCGAAAAAATGGGAAGCACTAATCGTGAAATATAGTGCTGTAAAACTATCATATCATTGGATGCTTTGAAATGATGCTCTAATTTTATAGCTGGTTTAAGACTTTTAATGTTCTGTTTGTATTCATCCTGATACACTGGAATTGTAAGAGGGATTTCCCATGTTACAAGAAAAGGCCATTTAGATGCTATCTTTAGATGGAACGCGGTCAGTTACAACGGTGCTGGATGCGAGTTGTCCTACTACGGGATTTTATTAGGCATAGACACCCGTTTCGTCGCTTTCCCTTTCGTATAGTGTATCTGCGCGCGGGCCTACGGGTTTCGCTTGAATTTGCTGAACATTCCCATTCTTTTTGGCCCACTGGTAACACATCACTGTTACGGGCGGTACTTTGATTTCAAATTTTAGTGTAACATTCATTTAAAATATATCTGTGACCTAAAGAAATAAAAAAGTATTTTATTATTCCTGTTCTATTTCTCGTACAGCTAATGTAAATACTGACTTGAGTTTTTTAAAACCCCATAGCTTCGTTTGCGTAATGAGAACAGTCGTTTTGCGTTAATAATTTGTTTAAATAATTTATTTTAAAAAACGAAGTTTCAGTGGTTACTTAAATTACGGACTGACACTGAAAGCTGCCGCAAAAATAATAAACACGATGTGGCATTATTTCACCCTAAACACTCTAAGGATTAAATTATTCGACATTTATTTGATTATCTGTGTCATTGGGACCAGCGTTTTAATGAGTAAAATTGCGCCTTTAAAACTAAGTTGTAAGTACTTAGATTTCAATTAATTACAACAGAAATTAGTTGTTCCATTTTAAAACTTATTTTGGCTGGCTTAACTTTAGCCTCATATTTATGTAAAAAAATTATTAACTGAAAGGGGATTAGTTATCCATGAATTCAGCCAGTCTCGTAGCCCTAAATAATATTAACGCTTTAAAAAATTAATTGAATACATCAGCCCGCACTACAAATCGACTGTTTGAATTGACAAGCAACATGTTATTCTTTGGGATATTCTCGGCATGTCACTGCTGAGCATTTTAATTCCCTGTTATCTATGCTACTAAAGAATAATAATATGCCTAACCTGGATTTAATAGGCTGCAATTTAAATGTCTAAAATAACAATATGGATTATTACGTTGCTCTAACGGATGGGTTCAAAATGAAAAAAAGACCGCAGGTATACTAAGATTTTTTAAATCGGCAATTCGATGTTTATGACTCGGATAAACCCCTAAAGCTGCTTAAGTGAGTTAAAAGATTTCACGTTGGTTTTGCTTAAATTTCACACTTTAAAACGAGCAGTTGCGTTAAAATCAGGTATTCCCAAGTAAAGACAACGCCGAATTACAATGGCATTCCGTTTAGGTTTTATTAACATCTCAGCTTTAGCTCACATGATCGAAATTTGAACTTGGCACTCTACATTTTCTTTTTTTTTCCATTTGCATTAGAGTTTTATGCATATATTTAAATAAAAGGTTCTTCACTTTGTGAAAACATTCAAAACCAAACGACAGAGAGAATACGTTTCTTAAAAGGTACCTTAACTTTCTTGCAATGTCCCATTTGCTTCTTAATAAAAGACTTTTCACATTATTTGGAGAATCAAGGGATCTCGTGTCGAGCGCATTTAAACGGAGTGTGCCCGCAACGTCTCTCAGTACTACCCGGAATATTTTCGCTGGGTTATTGTCTATAATTTGTCCAAACTTTTGGCATTGGTGAGAATCTCTCTCGCGAGTCTCCATGTCTGTTTTGCTGCAGCTTCCAGAGCCGAATGAGGTTTCCCTTGAAACAGGTCCAAGTTTGGTAAGAAGTAATGGGGGCATCTGCGACACTGCAAGCACGAGATAAGCTGCAGGAGAATTCCGTTCAGCCGGTCGCCGAGGCACGATTCGTCCCAGTCGGTCTCCCGCGGATGTTTCTCGCATTCATATAGGAGCAAGGTCTTCATGTGGTAGTTATTGAGTGGCTGTCCCGGCAGCTCGAGGTGACGGTCGCGCAGCGTCTTTAGGATGGACAGGCATTTCTTCCTGCAGCCCGCCATCAGGAGCCTGTTTTCGGCTTCGCTGAACTGCAAGACCCAGGCGTCGCTCTCGGCGGAGCTCTGCTTCCCGGTTAACGAGTAGCACTCTTTAGAAAGCAGATTGAAACCTTCGGCTTTGACCTCTGCCACCCGATTAGGACCCGGCCAGGGGATGTGAGGCATGGGCCACTGCGCCGCGCTTCTAGGCCAGATGCCGGTACATTTGAAAGCGGGGGTGATCTGAACGACGTACCTCTCTCGGATCCTTAGTTTCACTTCGCTGGTGTCTGCTACCATCTTGACAACGTCACGGTAGCTGCATTTATCCACGGCTTGTGCCACCAGAGTCTGAAATCTTGATCTGATCTTTCGAGCCGAGAGGTACCCCGAGGCGGTGATAAACTCTACCCAAAGTGACATGCTTCTTTTGCGGCCGTCGCTCAGCTTTAAGACTGCGCATCCCGGCAGGGACCCGTCATCCACAAAGTTGAAAACGCCCATCTGGTTCAGGTAAAGCACCACTTCGAACTCATTCGGGGAGATAACCTCCATCCCCTCGTAGCGTGCCTCGATCTCACTCAACGAGCTGATGAACCGCGGCTCCTGCACCTCGACCTCTTTCAAGACGTCCGACACCACCTTGCATACCTCCCGGATAGTCTTGGCGATGGCCGCTTTACGAGCCTGACACCTCTCGTTGTAGTATTTGTTGAGCTGATAAACAAGCTTCGCCTGTGTGGCTATCATGTTTGGGCAGAGGTCCGGGCTGTATACCGGAGTATCGCAGTACGTTGACGGATCCAATGCTTACCGGGTAGCCAGAGGCAAGCGCTTCAGACTAATGAGAAAATAAGGTTACAACTTCCCCCCAAAAAGGCAGAGCAACACCGGGTGGAGGTTAATTGTGGGAAGAAATTATGCGCGCCAAAAATATCTGACGGATGCGTCCAGTGAAAGCGGCGAAGCGGGTCAGTGTGATTACTGTCCTCCTTTTCGGCTATATACGCTAAAAGGCGAAAGGCTGGCGGCGATCAGTCATCTCTCACACTCTAGCCCCGTGTAACTGCGCCTTATTAAACCTTGTCTGCTTGTTGTCCGGACTCAGTTGGGAGTGCTTGGAGTTTAGTTTATGAATGGTCCGTAAGCCCGAGTGAAAGGGGGTCGGGCTTTTCGTCCTGCAATCAACTGCTGAGCTGTCAGAGGAAGCAGCCAATCACCGGCGCACCTTTAAACACGCCGCGCCGGAGAGTCACTTTCCCCGCTGACATCCAGCGCCGTGCGTCGGCGAAGCCGGGTCAGGGGACCAGCCTTCAGAGCGGCGAGGGATCACCGCTTTCTAACATAGGCTTTAGCTATGTTTGTTTTTTTGGGTTTTTTTTTTTTTTTACAACAGACATTTTTGTATTTGAAACCTGGTGTATTTTCCCATAGATATGCCGTGCCCTGTCTCTCAGTACTGTGCACAGAAGCTGAGCATGCAACACAAACGGCGCATCACCTGTGCTGTCTACGCGTTTTTTTCTTCGCATAAAACACCAATAAATACATACATTTTTGTTTTCATTTCTTTGTTTCCCCCGTTTCTCTTTAGCATTTAAAATGCCGTTATACCGAAGAGTCTTGCCTCCGGAAATTTTGCAGATTTATTTAAGGTTTATCATAAAGATGTTTCTTTTGCCAGTTCTGCCTCACTTCATAATTCCTATTTTACATGTGCTTATTGTAAATATATTGATATCAGTTTTCCAGAATATACGTACAACAAAACCGTCCTTTTCTTGTGTAGCGGTAATTGCGGCAGAGATGACTGTAATCAGCAGGAAGGCGCGTCCGTCTTCAGGTTAGACGCGCCGTTTTACTCCGTAACAGAATTAAGGACCGAATTTTTCTGCTCTGCCAGTTTATCCAGGACTGTTTACTTCGGCCTTTGAGTACTTTTTTGTTTTACCCCCTGAGCGTTTCATAGTATTTTATGCTAGTTCGAGAAATTTATTGCTACGAAAGGAATATTTGAAATTCTGCCTAATTTTTTTTTTCTTTTTAGTCAATGTCCTCGTTTCATGGCTGTACAGTAACAACCGCACTACATAACATACATTTTGTCTGCTGTGTCGTATGTCGCCTTACGGAACAACTTATGTTGTTTGAATTAGGGAATCGAGAGATTATCACAATGTTGTATTAAAGGGATGAAGGTCATAAACACGAGTCTTCCATTTAACATTGGACCGTTGTATTACGAGTATTTTAAGTATTTTGCTCGGTATATAACTTTACCGCTCCCTTTGATTTTTTTTTTTAAATATAAAGTATAGGATATTTACTGTGAAATAAGCGCGGTTCCGTCACGCATTAATTTGCATTGTCATTTCGTTAATTTATTTATGATATAATGCATGAAAAAACACATTTTAGCAGCACACGTGTTAAATTCGTGTATATGTTTCTTACCAGAACTGGTGTTTCTTAAAAATTACCAAATTTTTTGCTTAATACACTAATGACCTTTTTATGCATTTTTAATGCGATTTATTTCTAGCGTATGAATGTAGTCATTGTGTCGCGTGTGTGCTAAGTTTGTGTTTGTGAGGTCGTATGCCTCAGTTTACGGTTTTAATATGATAATTATATCCGCGGTACAACTTGTCCGGATGAATAATTTATGTTGGTTTCGCCGGGACTGTAATGGAAGAGCCCGTGTCACCCCAGACATCATGTTTGATGACTTAAAAACCGATCACCACAGCCTCCTGAAGGGCTCATTGTGGAAAAGCGGTAAAGGCTGGCTGCTGTGTGGCCGGCGGACGGCGCGGCGTGCCCAGTGAATGACACAAATAAATACCTGTTCAATGGAAACCATTTGAATTCCTTGCAAATTATCGATCTATTTTCACGGCTATGCGCTGGCCCTCTTTCGGGCCTGAGTTAATGAGGCGAGCTTCTGGCGGTGCTTGTCGGTAACTTTATTATGCACTCCGGACAGGTTTTCAGCTAAAGCGCGATCGTTTGTTTGCTGTTGTGCGTGTTAAAGGGCGATGCTATTAGCGGTCATTGTTCAGTACGGTAGCTTAATGGGCTTCAGAGAGCAATTTTACCATATACTGAACTGAAGTGGCAAATGATTATTATTTTGTGTCAAAAGTCGATTACTTTTGTTTGAATACTTGTAAACAATAGTTAACATTACTTTATAAAATATTTTAACCAGTTAAATTACTAACAATTTATGTTTCCCTACATAGGTTTAAAAAACACTGCTTTAGAAATTAAATGCATTTGTTATGAGATGCTAATAGGATTGCGTTTTTTTTAATCTTTTTAAAATGCTAGTATGGAATAAACACATATGAAATTAATTCTGGCCAGGAGGTCCTGTAAACCTGACTGGAAGACCTGGTTACTCTGCTGTAATCTCTCCATGTATGGTCAACCTTCCCCTGATATTTTAATTCCTGAAAGGAGCTATCTCTGATGTCCTTCATGAGCAATACACATGTGTATGCATACCGGTCTGGTGGCATTTCTGCTAACTATTGAGCAAATAGTTCCTTACATGAGGAGGATAATCGCTTGTGAGTTTATGGACACTGAACCCCTGTGGTCTGCCTTGCTTTGGTGCAGAACTGGGCTAGAATAGGAGATTCTGGCTCTGCTGGGACAAACGCACCCAGCAGAGTGTCTGCGCTGCTTTTGACGCCGACTTCATAGGGTCTGCAAACTGCACTTGCATCAGATTTACCCTCGCAGCCTTTGAGTCAAAGACACATGTCGTGCCACATTGCTCAACTCTTATTTTCCCTCAGTCTTTCGTTCAAGACATATGGAGGGGAAGGTAAAAGCAGCCGGGGGGCGGCAGTTGTCATGGTACAGTGTAGAAAAATGGGCTAAACCGGTTGCCTGCAGGCCGATAAACTCTCAGAGCCTGACCGTGCAGCAGTAACACAAAACCTACACTTCAGAAGACAAAAAAAAAAAAATAATCAAAATGGTGCCTTTTCCTGTATTTCAGTGCTGCAAGGTCAAGAAGTGTCACGTGACCTTCCAGACCTGGCTGTCGTTTGAGTTTGCGTTCAGTCTGAGTTAAAGTTAGAGCTAAAGGAGCAATCAGATGCACATACTGAGCATAATTAAGCGGCCTGTTCGCTGATAAACACATGGCAGAAGCCGCAACGTTGTGCGCAGGCACAGCTGGTCCTCTGCTGAAGCGGCTGTCATCTTTGTGTGCAGATCAGCTGTGTTTGTCTAAATAAGTGAGTAAAGCGAGTGGTATAAATAAAACAGCATGTAGTAACACTGGAGCGTTAAATAAAATACTGACAGTTTGAACAAATCTATTGATGGTATCTGATAGAATGCTTCAATGGTTAAAAGCTTAATCTGTGAATCAAAACTACTGTTTTTTTCCCCTCTGCCTGAACCTTAAGGCATTTGGTCACTTTGTGTTTTTATTCTCTAAATTGGCCTCCAAAATTGTGTCTGGATTAAGAAATCCAGGCATAATAAATGAATACATAACTGCCATACCTGAGGCATTTACTCCCACAAAGGATTTATTGTCGAATTAAATAACAGGTGTGAGACGGATTCGAGTTGATTACCGCTCTCATACACACGCAGTCACAGTGGTTAAAGATGGCCAGTTTGTGTAAAGCTGAGAGTTTCGGAGGCTGCAGACTCCTCAAGGTAGAGCGAGGAGGTTAGAGTAATTGCCCAAAAATACAATTGACGTGGGGTTTACTCAACAGCTTGATTTATTGTAGAGGTTCTTAAAATGTGTAGCTGTTGAGACTTAGCATTCTTTTCCCATGAATCACACACAGAAAATGGAGGAATACTCACAAGTATTTATGGAGTTTAGTGTTTTATGCTTAGACCTATTTTTTTAAACAACCGTTTTGTCTAAAGTGAAGAGCAAAGATATTCAAAAAGGAGAAAAAATGAGAAATTTCATACATGTTGAAACACATTAAATGTATAACTAAGGACCATTTCAGGAAAATGTTAGTATTATTTTTATGGTGTTAGGGTGTGTATATTTTATTATTAGTAGTATGTTTAATATCCATAAATGTAGGCTGTTGCTAAATGTGGAAAGTGTGAGCTGTTTTTTCTCCTTCGGGTGATTTTAACTAATGGTTACATTGAAAATAGCAAAGATCTGGGTCCACCTGTAACGCACGCACACACACAGTCGTGTAATCATATCTTTTTCGGGACCGCTCATTCATTTGTATGGGAAAAATGCTAATGCTAACTATGACAACCTTAACCCCTACCCAGCCCTAACCATAAGTAACCAAACAAAATACAGGAGTTTTTGCATTTTTAGATTTTTCATTGCAGTCACTGATTTTTATAAAAGTTTTCCCATAAGGTAAAAAAAAAAAATGGGTATTCATCACGTTGTGGGGATGTTGTGTCCCCATAAGGTAAGATGTTTACACACACACACACACACACACACACACGCGCACACACAGGAAAATTGCAGTGACTGAGCTCTGAACACCAGCAACCAGGCCTTACTTGCTGTGTGTAGAGTCTCTCTTCACCTCAGGCTCCTCCAGGACACTGTAAGCCTTCTATCAGTGCTGATGACCCAAATCGGTTATAATTTATTGCTTAGGTTTCCGTGAGGTAATCTCTCTCAGGTAATCCCAGTGTGGAAGGCACTTTGAATCATCTTTGGAGCATATTTTGAGTCATTTCTGTGTTTATTGTAATAAATTGTCTGACAGCTGTTATTATTTAAAATGTGGATATTTAAAATTTTAGACCAAGATTGTAATCTACTGAATATTACTGATTGATTTTCTTTTATTGCAAAATAAACATTTGGATCAGTTTGATCTGACATATTTAATTAGTATTCGTCTTCTGAATAAAAAAAGATCTAAAACTGTTTTTGTGCTCTCTGATTGGGATGGATTACGTCCCTAACCCTTTTAAATTGGCTTGCTAATTTGCATAGCGGGGCTGTGTGATGTATTTCAGCAGCCGAGTCCTGCGGTAAAGCACACCAGCTCTTCCGAGAGGGCGGATTCGCTCCAAAACTGCCGCTCTTCTTGGTGGATTTCAGTGCCGCTTTTGTTGCACCGGTAACGGAGGCCCCTGGAGACCA